CTATCACAGCTTAGGTCTCACCTCATGCTGGCAGTCACTGAGTCAGAGTTTTCCACACCCAGGACAATCACACCGCATTCACAGATTCACAGCACACACAGCCAGAGCAAGGGACACACTCCGCGGCTCCAGAAGTTTCACACCACCACCCTCCCCTTACATCAAAGGTGAAAAGCCCCACCTCTCAGGAATAGGAGCTGGCAGAACCCACACCTGCTCATCCCTCGATCTCAGATCCTGCCTGGTACTTGACCCTGGCTCGAGGCTGGAAGCCATCCTGTCTGTAAGGATAAGGAGCCCTGGAGGAAGTAGGGAAGATGGACCTGGGACATCCAAGTATCATGTTTGGAAACATTCGTGACACGTGAGAAGGTTGAGGAGAGACCTGTGGAAGACCTTCCACACCTGTGTGGACACATCACCTTCAAAACCAGACACACAGGCTAGCAAGATGGCTCAAGCTTGAAAACCTGAGTTCACTCTTTGGAACCTACTTTAAAACTCGGGATGTGGGGGCTGGAGAGATGGCTTAGAACTTAACAGCCCTGACTGTTCTTCCAGAGGAATATGAGTTCAATTCCCAGCAACCACATGGCGATGGCTCAAAACCAACTGGAATGGGATCTGATGCCCTCTTCTGGTGTGCCTGGAGACAGCTACAGCGTACTCACATACATAAAATAAATCTTTTTTTTTTTTTTAAATCTGGATGCGAGATGGTGGAGAGACGGTGGCTCATGGGTTAAGCGCAGTGTGCTGCTCTACCAGAGGGTATGGTATGAGTTCAGCCTCCCCCTTCCTCCTTCTTTCCTCTCCTCCAGCCCTCTCCCCTATCCTCACAGATTGCCCAAACTCCTTAAAACCAGAACTTTTCAGATGGGGACCAGATAAGAGCACTTGTCAGACCAGGACCTGGAAGAAATGAGATTCAGGCCCTAGACCCTCACATTTCCACCGCCATGAGAAGGTTCCCCATGTTGGCCCACAGAACCACTAAGGACTCACTTCACTACCACCAAGCCAGAGGCACACAAGCACTCTTCTCTTCTCCCTACAGCCTGTGTGCACGGTGTATGTGGCTTCACTTACTCTACCACACATGAAGCTGCGATCTTGGTGCACTCTCTGCACCTCTACTGCCATGGTCCAGGGCAAGTCAGGGAACTTGGAAACTCATTTCAAAGGGGAGGGCTATGCAGGAGCTCAAAGATGAACTGAAAATTCTAGACCAGCACTCCCTGAGTGCACTGCCTCCCACAGATACTGATCCAGAAGGTCGGGGACTGGGATGGAGGAATGTGGGGTGGTGGGCTGTAAGAGGCAGTGGGGTACCCAGTTGAGTCTGCTTCGAACCACAGAGACCCTAAAGGGTCAGTAGGAGTTTGGTGGTACTCCTGGGCCTCCTGGTGCCTCTCACTTAGCTTCAGCCATCCAGAGCCCCTCCCAGAGAGGGGTCTATGGTCATCAGTCACTTAGGAACAGTGCCTCAGGCTCTCCCACATGTAGATGAGGTATCTCCAAGCTCTCAGAACAAGCCAATAGGAATTACCTGCTGCCAGACCCTAACCCACCCCAAAACTGTATATAAAAACTCTATTCTGGAGAAGTAAAGGTGTGTGAGAATCATCCCATTGTGTGAGAGTTTCTGTCACAAGAGCTGTAACACTTGGGAAGAGATCTGCTCTCCCAAAGCGCCTTCAGGACCCTTACTGTGCTCCTTGCTAGCTAGCTGGCTTCTCACTGGCTCAGCATGGACTGGCACAGCGCAGAGCCACAGGCACAGCACATGGGAGCAACCGGGTGGGGAGGGCAGAGACTCGGGTAGAGGCAGCAGTGGAGGAAGTGGAGGCGATTTCCCCCTCCCTGCTTGCACTGGATCCCCTTGGCCTGAAACCCCCAACCCAGCCCGGCCACAGATCTTCGCGGGAAGCCTTCCAGAACTCGGACCCACAGGGGAAGACCAGGAAAGGAGAAAGGACTGCTGCATGCAGGGAACGGGAGACAAAAATGGGCTTTATAAGACTGTCCCAGAGAAGGCAGGAGTCAGGGCAAGGGCAGGGTATTTGGCAAAGGGGGTGATGGGGGGGGAAGGCTGGCTGTGTCAGGCCTGGCTCCTAAGGATCCAGACCCAGCACAGCTGGCTAAGCTTGGCTGCATGGTGCCTGCTCAGAAGCTGGCCCACATCTCACTCAGGATTACTGCTCTTTTTTTTCTTTTCCACAAAATACTTTATTTAGTTTTTGAAAAGTTCATACATGAGAACCGTATTTGGGGAAGATAGAGTGGATCGTAGGTGGGAACTAGTGTTCTAAGAGGGGCGGGAAAGGAACAGTTTCCACCCCATTGCAGTACCGCATCACCCACCAAAAGAAAACGGGCTGAACATAGGACAAAGGTACTTAATGTGAAACAGCTGCCTCCAGGGGCAGGTCCAGGGCATACGCAGGGGCACTGGTCAGCTCTGCCTGTAGAGCAGAGGTTCTCAATCTGTGGGTAGCGACTCCCACGGGCTCACACATCAGATTAGTACACTATGATAAAGAACAGCTGCAAAAGTACAACGAAATAGCTTTATGGTCTGGGATTAACATAACACAAGGAACTGTATTAACAGGCCATAGCATTAGGAAGGTGGAAACCACTGCTGTAGAAGAACTGGAAGGAAGCAGGATCCATGGGTAGTAGTTTGGCCTCTTCTGTGGGTAGAGATTCTGGGTCCAACCTGTCAAGCAAACACAGAGTCAGGCCAGCCCTAGCTTCCTGAGCATGCAGGAGTGTGGGAAGGCCTGTGGACAGAACACTCACTTCAGAGATCCTGGAACTTTTCATTGAGGGCCTGCATGATCGCTGAAACACAGAAGGACAAATGGGTACTCCAGACACAGACACACAGGAACCCACCAGCCTGAGCCCCATTCTCTGTTCCACAGGAACTTCCAGACAGCCACCTCACTGCCCTCCAGCCCACATCCAAGCAGACAGACTTGGGACAGACTCCCCCACCCATCACCGAGCGCTATGTGCAAACGTTTTCTACAGGAGAACAGCATGGACAGGCAGTCCTCAAACGCTGGGTCACAGCAGTGCCAGCCCTACTTGTGAAACAAACAAACAAACAAACAAACATGTGACAACAGACACCTGACAAGCCCCGGGTGCCAGGACTCCAAGGGAAAGTGAAGGAGGAACATGTGAATGTCCAGGGAGAAGGGGACCTGGGGCACTCATCTGCACAGCACATGGGAGAGCAGAGTGCCTCTTGGTGCAAGTCCCAGAAGTCAAGGCACAGAGGCCTCCCAGCCTGGCCTGCTTCATGTCACCTCCCCCGTGAGTGCCTGCCCCACTACCCACCATAATCACCTGCACCCAAACACTAAGCTCCCCTCTTCCCCTGTCTGAAGATCCTTCCTGCCCAGGGTAGGCCATACCTAGTTGTTCCTTGAGTTCATCTATCTCCTTCTGTAACATCTGACACTAGTCCAGCAGACACGGAAGAAAGAGAGAGGTTAGTAATCAATGTCTTGGCTTCCTCTCTGCTCCATTCACACTTGCCCTTAATCCCTACACCTCCCACCATTCCAGAGTCCTGCGATAGGACTGGCAAAGAACCTTCAACAGGAAGGAGGTGCCCTCTCTCTGTGCAGTATGGGACAGAAGTTGGCACAGGAGGTTAACTCTCAGGTTAACTTTGACAGTCACCTCAGGGTCTAGCTGAGGCTGGCATTTCTGAGAGCTGACAAATCTTTACCTGAGCACAGCCTGGTGTCCCTTGTAGTACTTGCTCACTTTCTTCATTAGGGAGTATGGGACCCACAGGTGGACTCTGTTCACCTAAAAAACAATTTTTTTATGTAGCATGTAGATTTGGGGTGCAGGTGTGAACGGACTGGTGAAATCTAAAATGAGGCAACATCTCCCTCTGTTAGTAGCAACTAGTATCTTGAACCTTCCTTTCCTGTTGCTCCTTGTTTGTACAACCAAATCCAGAATCTGAGAGGAGCTCAGTGACTGAGCAGGGCTCACCAAGCAAAAACTCTGGTGAGCTAAAATCACCCTCTGGAGTTGGTTGTTTCAGTTAATATTTAGAGCGGCAGCACCCGATCTGGCTTGTACAGCCCAACTGCTGAGCTTTATACAAATGTAGTGGAACTATATTCCACTACAGTTGGTGTTGCCCTACCCTTTAAAGTCATGCATCCCATAAGCCCTCTAATTTGACAATGTGGCCTGAAGCCAACCCTGACCATAGCCAGTCTCCTGTGGACTCCCTGCCTACCTGACAGGGAAGCCCAGGAAACAAGTCTGCAATTCCCCAAAGAAAAGAGCCAAGGTTGCTTTCCTCTCCCCTTCCTCCCCCACTGATCTCAAACCTCCAAAGTCTCACCAGCAGGTGCAGGTGCTCTGGGTCTGGCATATCTTTGGCTCAAGGAAAAGAACTGCGGGTTTCCTGGAACTTGAGGTGTTCTGCTGTTGGAGTCTCCACTGCTCATTTCTCCACGGTACATGCACATGGAAGGCTGCTCTGCCCTGGGTGGTGGAACCTCACACACACACACACAAAAAACATCACTGAGTATATGTTTTTGAGGGGCTGAGGGGAAAGTGGGCTAACAAAATGGAGACTTGCTAGGCTCATCCCATCTGCACTTTCTGTCCTCAGTCAGCCTCAGGTCAGGAGGCAGAGCTCAGCCAGGAAGGAGCCCACAGACAATGAAAAGGTTCAGGTCCTGGCCTGGCTTCCTTAGGGAGGAGCCAGGGAGGAATCAGGAGGCCCTCGGGACTGACTACATGCTCAAGTTGTGCAGCCCACACTGTAAGGGCTCTCTGGACACCAACCACCCACACTGACAGCCAGGCACACTTCCCACCCCAGCCTGGTTAGAGAGAGGAAATGCACAGGGAAGGGAACAGTAACCAACACCTAACTGAGGCTCCCTTGACAGCCACCCTGACTTACTACAGGGACTCCATCCTAATCAGGATGAGTGCCCACTGACAACTTCCCAAGCCAAGGCAGGGGCAGGAGGAGCAGCACAAATGTATGTGCTGGGGAGGGAAAGGGCAGGGTTAGAGGAGGAACAAGGTTAGTCTACTTACTTGGGCATGGGCAATTTCCTTAACCTTGTTGAACTCTGATGTTGGGCTCATCACTGTGGAATTCTTCATGGTGTCTTTACACAAAAGGCCTCTGTCTCCTCTGGCCACTGGCAGGCTCTCCCTTGTATTCTTTGCTACTGCTCTCTTTCTGGATGTACCATGTGTGGATTCAGTGGGTTCTAGAGGTGTTGTGGGTTGCTTTTTAGAACTCTCAAGTGTAGGGACGCAGGTTATTGGAGGAAAGGTGGCTACTTCCACAGGAGCTGCCTTAGGTCTCTGCCCCCACAGTGGGACAGGTCTTTGCCCAGTGACTCTTGGAGTATCCTGTAGGGGTTTCTTCTCCTGGGCTGATTTCTTTTTAGGACTGGACTTCCTCAGTGCACCTGCAGCAGCTCCTGAGTAACGAGGCCTACTCTGTTCCTTGCCTCTGAACACAGATGCTTTTCTGTTAGAACAAGAGGCCCCTAGCTTTCCCATGCCCAAGATATGGCCCTTGGGAGCAGACATATGCAGAGAGCCAGTCATATGATGAAAATTGCCCCTTAGCTGGACATTTCTTTTTCTGGGTTTGTCTTCAGGAGCCATAGAATTGCCAGATATGATCTGTTCTCCATTCTTGAAGCAAATGGTCACCCTCATCACTTGCATTTCGTTGTACTCATCTGATGACGAGTCAGGGTCAGATGGTGGGTCGTGGACATCCTCAGGGATTGTTTTCTTACTCTTGGTGATTTTCTTTTTCTTTTTTGTCCTGCAGGCCCTGCCTCCTTTGGGCTTCCAGTGGTGGACTGGGGCCACAGAGGACTGCTTTCCATCTCCCAACCTCTTGCCCAGCTTGCCTTTTCTGCTGCAGTCTGCCTCCATATCTGCCCAAGTGGTAGACTGTTGGGTGGTACAGCTTTTTGAGGATGAGTGGCTTCTAGCATCCTGGTTCATTTGGTCGGTTGGCTGTTGCACTTTATCCTCAACCTTGTCACCGACAAGAGGCGAGCAGTCCATACGATCTCCTTTGCCTCTGGCTGAGGAGCCAGACTGCTCTCCATGATCCCGAAAGACCACCATCCCTGATTCTTGAGCCTGTTGCTTGGACCCTGAGTCAAACTCAGAGTTGTCCTCAGTCTCGACCTCATTCTCACTTAGGTTTCTCTGTGAAGATCCCATGGCAGGGTCCAGGTTGAGATCCTGCAGTGAGCAGGGGTCGTCCAAACCGATGTTAGTAGCTTCCCCATCCTCGGGGTCTAAACTTACTTCTTCAACTGCCCCCTCTTTATTGCAGCTCATGTTTCCACTGCTAGTCTACATGGCCTGGCATGTAAGGACAAAGGTATCCCTAGTCTCGGCTAGACCAGCTAGGCCTTCAGAGATACCGTCACTATAGACACCAACCACACTAGCGCTAAACACAAACAAGGGGAACCTTCTAGTGTCTTGCTGTCCTCATATGGCCTTCCCATTGGCCTACCCTCCACCAATCAGATCAATCCTTGTTGGGCCATCTTACAGGCCCTAGCCAATAAGAATAAGGATTCTTGATTGTTTGGAATTCTTATCCTGGCTGGTCCAAGTCTATGGATGGGTGTGGGGGTGTAGGCGGTGTGAGGTAATGGGGTTAGGTGGGAGGTGTGGGTATGTGGGTGGAACCTTGAGGTTGTGGTTCAGTCTGCCTCTTCTATCATTTCCTCGCCTCCTCTGGCCAGACACCTACCATGGAAGGAGAGCTGTACGCTCTGAGACTCTTTCTCATGTAAACGTGTAAAGTAGAGAAAAATAACCACACATCGGCCAGGGGCTTGTGAGGATTCAATGTCATGAGAGCTGTGGAGCTTTCAACATAGAAAGGATTTGGGAACCTCTGTTCCGTACAGATTTCCTGTTCAACAGGACATTGAGCAAAGAAGCCCATGGCTACTGATCAGTGCTCCGCAGCAGAGGCAGAGACATAGAAAATGGTTTGTGAGCCACAGGCGGCAGAGACAGCAACTTTGATTGTCAGCACCCATAACACTGTGTTGGCAGGTTGCAATTTTCCCACTTCTTCCGGACCCCGTCCTCACCCCGAGTTAAGACATTGAGGAGGGATTCTTTTTGGTATAGAACCAAAATATTTGGTGTCACTGGTCTTGAAGCTTCAAACTGAAATCAGTATTCACATACCAGGTTAGCAAAGACGAAAGCGCTTGTAAAGATTGGGTGAGGTTCTAGCTTGTAGTTCGTGCTCTCTTCTGAGGTAGAAGGTGTAGTTCAGAGAGGGCAATGCCTTGGGTGGGTAATTTGGCAGAATCAGAGGAACACGAATCACGTCAGAATCACTAGGTGTCTTACAATTTTTTAAAGCACTCAGATGAAACTTGCATCCATTTCAAAGCATCTCCTAGGTTTGAGTAACTACTTACTGCTGCTCTTCTTGAGTGAGCAACCCATTACCATGAGGGCAGGGACACATTGTCAAGGGTGTTGATGAAGAAAACCCTTGGGGAACTCTGAAGTTCCCTGGGTAAAGGAATGCATGAGTGTAGACTGGTCCATGCACCCAGCAGATTTTGTAGAGTCATTCCACATGCCTGAGGTTGTGTTTAACATACTTCAAAAGCAAGCGTGATTGCGTAAACCAAATTACAGAATCTTTCATAGATTTGGATATACATTTGTGAATTAAAAATCCAAACCAGACATCTGTGATATTTGAGAGTGTATATAAGCATATAGAGGGCTATACTCTAAAGATCCAGAGTGGAAATGCAAGGAAAGCCTTGCAGGGGTGGTGCGGTACCACTGTTGTCATACTTTGCCTGAGACTGTGCCCAGCTTTCCCCAGCAGAAATTGAGGAGTAGTTCCTTCCTTGGTTTCTGGAAGGTTTTATAGTACTAGCATTTCCTTCACTTTCCAGGGGAAATAGAGAGCGAAATTCCTACAATTCTTGATGACTCAAGTATTTATCAATCTACTGGGCCATAGAGCCAGTTTCACGAACATTTTGTTAAAAGCACTTTGCTCATTCTATAGTGTTGGCTTATGACCATGGGCTTGATGGGAAACAGCTTTCTAACCCTTGTCTGAACAGAGCTTATCTCACACGGCTGTGTCTGTGTCTATGTAAGGCACCTCCAAACTGTCTTCTGTGGAAGAACTCCAGACATCAGCACTTGGGGCCATGTTTAAGGGGAAATCACTAGGAAAGCACAAATATGTGAACTATGTGATGCTAAGAAAAAGATACTTGATTGTAGCTTAAAAGAGAAGAGTGTCCACATTTTTGACCCCAGTTGAGAACACACTTGGCCTTTGAATGACTTTAATTTTTAATCTCATTTGCACATGGTCACTAATGGCCCTGAAAAGTACACTTGTATTGAGGTGGAAATAAAGTTTAGTAAGTAGTTGACTTAGCAAACATGGAATCGGTGTGATATACACTAATTTAATCTCAATCTGTATGGCTTTCTATGCCTTTGGTTTTTTTTTAATATTTATTTTTATCTTATGAATGCCTACATATATGTTGGGCATGATGTGTCTGGTGCCTAAGAAGGCCAGAAGAGGGTGATAGATCCCCTGGAACTGAATCAGTAGATGCCTGATGTGGATGCTGCTTAACAAATTTGAATCCTCTATAAGAGCAGCAAGTGCTCTTAGCTGCTGCAGTTGTCTTTCCAGCCTACTCACCCTCATTGTTTTTAAAGCTGGAGGTTGTGTTATGGTGTAGCCTGTACTGGGGTATTGAGTCCATGATCCTTCTGCTTCCGTCTTCCATGTGCTGGGACTACAGGAGAGCACCACCGTGCCCGTGTGCATCTTACTGCGGGAGGCATTTTGGTTGTTTCCAATTCCAGAGATATTACACCCAAGGGGTGCTACATGTGTTCTGGGCCATGTTTCATGGTATCTGTGGCAAAGCTTTCCAGCTTTTGAGATTCTTATCCTTAAGGGTAGCCAGTACCTCCTGGATGTGTTGGACCTGGCCCTGAGCAGCCTTGTCATCTTCCTCCTGTGAGCCACATGAATATTAATTTCTGTGGGATGAAATGTTGGGGAAGTTATGCTTATATCTAGGAGTGTGACTATTGACTTGAAAGACATGTCAAAAGTTCTCAGTTTTTTTTTTTTTCAAGTGACTGTCCTTTTGCCCAAGGAACTGTCCTTATCCACACTCCTGCAGGGATGTACCACTATCTCAGTTCTTCTGCAACTGGAACACTTATTACTACGAAACCACAGAATTTTTGCATCTGGTGAAATACACTATCTCATTTTACCATTGTTTTGTTTTGTTTATATTGAGTCACAAAGGAACTCAGTCTGGCCTCAAACTCTTGCTCATCCTGCCTTTGCCTCCTGAGTGTTGGGATTGGGATCACACACAAACCATCACCCCTGGCACTCTCTTGAGTTTAATTTTAGCTTTAGTTTTTTTGAGACATTGTCTCCCTGTGTAGCTCTGGCTGGCCTGGAACTTGCTATATAGACCAGGCTGGTCTCGAACTCTCAGTGACCTGCCTTTTGCTGCCCCCCACCCCAAGTGATGGGTTTAAAGACACGATCCACCACACCTGGCTTTAATTTTAATCTAGAATTCCTTGATTAGTAGTAAGGATGAGATTGCTTACATATGCATTGGCCTTTGGGACTTTCTTCTCTGTAATGAGCATTGTGCCTATTTACTGTCTTCTGTGCATCTCCCTCTTGGTTGTGTACATGTTTATATGTGTGTGACTCCTTTCTATATTTTAGACTTCAATTCTTTGATAGTTTCCTTTGACACAAAGGAAACTATCTCATGGGTAGTTTACCTTATTCTATTTTTAGTGTGTCTTTTAATGAAAAGAAGTAACTTTTAAATTGTTTTCCTTTTTAAACTCAAAATCTTTCCCTTTTTCTTATTTTCAAGACAGGGTTTCTCTATATAATCCTTGGCTGTCCTGGAACTCACTCTGTAGATCAGGATGGCCTGAAACTCACAGAAATCCACTTGCCTTTGCCTTTCAAGTGCTGAGATTAAAGGCCTGCCCTGCCATGCCTGGCTTTTTTGAGAACTGTATATTTGAGTACTGAATTTACATTATTGCCACCCTTTCTTCTTTTCTTCTGTCTGCGTTCCTTCACTCTCTCTGAGATTCACGACTTCTAATTGTTTGTTTGTTTGTTTTTGAGACAGCCTCTCACTATGTAGACTTGGCAGTACTGTTAATACTAGGTTCATTGCTCATACACATGTGTTTGGAATTGACGGTTCAAGGTTGTGTTGCTTTTTTCAGAATCTCTCTCTTTTCAATTGTTCCTTCATACCCCGTATTGTTTGCCTTGACTCATTCAGCTGTTTGTTTGTATCCTTTTGAATTCACTGATAATTTTAAGTCAATCTTTGAGTTATTTGTCCAGCATGTCATCAACTTCAGTATGTTTGGATTCAGTTATTCACGTCATAAGCCTTGTTTCTGTGTTTGGATCTGCTTGTTTGCTGGAACAGAAGTCTCTCCCATTTTCATACATCTCCCCCATGAACAGCTTTCCCTTAGGAGCTTGATCATAATGACTGCTCAAAAAGGAGAAAAGAAACCACAGCAACAACGAGAACAACACATAGCCAAGTCCAGCATGGTGGTGCATGTCTGTACTCCTAGAACTTGGGAGACTGAGGCAGAGGATAGGTTTAGAGATGGTGTATGTTATGTAGCAAGACTGTATTTCAAAAATCAAAAAGGGCTAAGGTTGTAGTTCAGTGGAGAAACAATTTGCTTAGCAGTCATGAAGCCTTGGATTTGCTCTTCAGTATTACGAAATAGAACCAATGAAATAAAATAAATTCCCCCAAACTTAATTAAAACAACTGCACCACCAAAGCAATAGAAAAAAGGAGGAAATAATACAGATCAAACTAAAAGGCTAAAAGTAAATGAATAATAAAATAGAAAAAGGATCAGGGAAAAGGAAAAAAGATTTTTAAAAATGGAAAAATATAAAGGAGAGAAGTAAAAAATGCAATTAAAGAATAAAATAAGTAAACAGAGTTACATAAAAGTGAGAAAAATGGAAAGAAAAAACTGAAAGAAAAAAAATAAAGAATAACAAGTCCAAAAGTTGTCCTTGCTGTGGCACTTGGGTTGAAAAGTCTCTCTCTAGGCTTTCTGTTGGAAATCCCCAGGAGTGGGTGGGGTTAGTGAATCATAGCTGAGGCCTATTGTAATGAGTCTCAGCTTCTGTTACATAGGCTGCTGCTGTACTAGTCTGAGCTCTGCTTCACATTTACCACTATTTCTGTTAAGTGTGTCTCATCTATGACAGG